CTATAGTAGATAAAATTTATATTTACCTATTTATCTATAGATTGAGTTTTATTTATTTTTATATCTAAATAGAATAATAAAAGTTTACTTATATACCTTTACTAATTACTTATAGAATAATTAGTTAGACTTATTACTACTAATAGAGTTTTTATTTAATAACTTTATCTACTTTATTACTAAAAATACTTTATTCTATATTAATAATAATTATCATTTACCTCTTTTATAGTTTATAAATTCATTATTTATTAAATACTAATATTTAAATATCAATATAAAGAAATTTATAAATAATATAAAAAATATATATTAGTAAATTAAGCTAAACTTACTATATATTTAGAATTTTATATAATAATACTTTAAATTTAAACTATATAACTCCTATAAGAGCGATTCTATTTAGCTTAATATATATAATATTAAAATTTACTACTTTAATAAAAAATTTAATTTTAAATTTTTAGAATTATTTATAATTTATATTAAGATTAAATTTTAAATATATAAGTTTAATTTCTTCTATAATCTAGATATATATAATATTTTTTATATTTTTTTTCTATAATTATATTAGTTATATTTTAATAAAAACCTCCCTTAAGAGCCCTTAATTATAATATTTAAACCTCTAAATAAATAAATAATTTAAATAGTAGATTTTTACTATTTTAAAAATTATCTATAATATAATATTCGCTAGATAAATTCTCTTATTAGATTAAAAATATAGTATTCCTCTTTTTATATTTTAAATATAGTATATTTAATTTAATAGTATTATATACTTCATTTAAATTATCTAGCTTCCACTTTATTTTAGTAAATATTTTCTTTACTTATCCATATTTTATTTTATATATAACTAGTATATTTATTTTCCTTATCTTTTTCTCTATTAAAACTATAATAGTAGGGTACTTAAGTTCTAATTACTAGAGTTCTAGTAGTAAGATAGTAGGGCGATATTATAAATCTTAGTCTACTATAGCAGAGTACTACTAGATAGATAAAATGGACAGTAGTAGAATAAAAGGCTTATTAGATAATAGATTACGTATTCTATATTCTATTACTTCTACTCCTACTACCCCTCTCCCTCTTTATACTTAGTAATAAATAGTATAGTTACAAATACATACATGTACCACGATCTTCCTAATCATTAAGCTCTTCTTACAACATCTTAGCTGACTAATTATTTTTCACGTGACTATTTCTTGGCTTGGCCAATCAACTTAGTTAATATTAGTCAGGTAAAGTGGGTCTCCCGTTATCTTGGTATCACGTGATGAACACCAGCCCTAGATATTCTTGAGTAACGTCTTCGGGCCAGGCTTGAGCTTGGAAGATGCGACTCAGTTAGCATATACAATTTTAGGACTTTGTCAAAATAGCTGCCTCTCTTAAGTAGCTCTATTACTGTCTAAAAAGTAACTAATTAAGAGGAAATAGGAAATTACATCTTTACTAGTCATTGATAAGAAGGCAGCCAGCCGGTAGTGAGTCATCTTGAGCCTCGTGCGTGACCCATGAACCAACTAGGCTGACCTGGACTTGCATATCAGCACTATAGATACAAGGGCCCTTTTCTATGTTAATGTACTATGCGAGAGGACTGAACTCATTGACAACGTATTTTTCTGCGAGCCGTCAAGTCTCCAAGCATCATCCCTCTGCCTTCTCTCCGACTCGATATTTCCATCCCACCTCCTCGCGTTTCGTCCGTCTTCGCCGCCAGACATCTCCTTTTATACCTATCAGAATGGCGCCGCCTCGGGGAAGAGGGGGCAGAGATCAACCAAGAGAATATAGAATATCAAGAGAACTTACGTTTATCTTGCGACATGCAGCGGAGAAGGAAGGAATAAATATTGACAGACAGGGCTATGCCAACGTTGGCGAACTGGTTAGCATACAGACGGGCCCCTTTAAGCACCAGATACTGATACATCCTTCAGCTGCAATATAGAAAACTCAAGGGCCTAAAAGCCACCCTTTCTGACGTCCTAGAAGCAGTCTCTACCTCCGATAAGCAAAGATTTGGCCTTCTATATATCCCAGGTCAACCTACCTCAGCTGAGATAAAGGCAACAGAAGAGGCAACCACAGGTGATGGATCCTCTCTTTCAACTGCTACCAGTCAGGCACTCGCTGCGAATGACCCGGATCCGAATAATTACCTGATCCGTGCGCGACAAGGACATAGCATGAAGTGTATCGACGCCGCTTCGCTACTCACACCACTGACCCTCTCTGAAAATCCTCCTGTCTCCTTGCCTGATACTGTTGTTCATGGAACCTACCACGCTACATGGCCAAAGATACTTCAAAGCGGTGGGCTGAGGTGTATGGGAAGGAATCACATACATTTCGCCAGTGGCCCATCTATAAGTACAATCCTGCCTAATGGGAGATATGGAGAGGTCGCAACTCCTTCAACCAAAGGCCGAGGACAGGATGGCGTAATTTCTGGGATGAGAGCAGATGCTCAGATACTGATATATATTGACCTTAAGCGTGCCTTGGCTGCTGGGTGTCCATTCGGCCTAAGCGAGAATGGCGTGATTTTAAGTGAGGGTATGTCTACCGATGGGACCGAAGACAAGAAGATTGGACTTGAATTCTTCGACATCGTGGTCGAAAGAAAGAACGGCTTGGGCGTATTGTGGGAGAACGGAGAACTGGTGAAAGAGTCACCAGACTGGATGTTAAACGCAAAAGCCCCAGCAGGAAAAGGTGGACAGAAGGGGCAGGGCGGGAAAGGTAAAGGCAAAGCCCCACGGTTGAAGGTAGAGAGAGACACGGATCATATAGACGAGGATTGATTGTATACCATTTCATGACTAGTTGTGCGATATTCATGTCTTTATAGTGAAGACTACCCGGATACATGGTCTCGGCGTAAATCAAACGAAATAACTACTATAATATTTAGTGTGAGGGAGGTTACTCGTATGAATAAAAGATGGTTCCTGCGCCGTCTTGGCGCATCGGGAGTGACATAAGCTTAAATAAGGTGAAATGTCGTAGTAAATATAGAACACCAACGAGCAGATTTTATGAAGCCAACAGGCGAGCCCCACCAACACACAATAGCATCAATGGTGTAAGGGTAGCACGGGTGCCTTCCATTCACAATTGGTCAAGCACCCAATCCGCGTTCGAGTCGCGGTTGATGCACAAGAGATAATTTAAATTGTCAGAATTTCTCTCCCGCTGCTGGCACTGGAGTGAATCTTGCTATTTATTTACCTCGATATAATAGCAAGATTCCAGCCGATGATTGCATATTCATTCGTTGGCAATGATTAAGTCTAGTTCATATTACAAAGTGTGTTCCAAACCATTCCTTAACCTCTCTAGCTCACCCTTAGAATTTTCAAACGCACGCTTAGCTTCCTCATACTGTTCATGCGGAACCCATCCATCTTTGCCAAGGAGACTGGCTCGGAAGTTCTCGAATTCGCTGAATGATTCCCCCCATTCCTCGGCCTGTTGACGTGCTTGTTTTATCTCTTCCTCTGTGAATGAAATAGGGCACTTCAGAGTCACGCCATTTCTTCGTGTTATCTGATCCCATTGTTCATAAATTTGAATGAGAAGCTCTCTCAGGGGTATTGGTCCGTCAAACGCAGACTGTTGGACAATATAAAATATAAACGAGGTGGGACACTCATCATTTCTCATTGCATCCATCGCCTTGGCTAACAGCGGGTTCATTTTTCTCGATGCCAACTCGTAAAATTTCTTTAACCTTAGGCGGTCAAGCGAATCTTCGGCCAGCTTTTTCTCCTCTATTGATAACGTATCAAAGTGCTCTGGGAGCGTAAGATGGACGGCACCCCAAGTGTATGGATCCTCACAGTCGAAAATTGAGGGAAATCTAGACTGCATGAAGATCGGGGAACTATAGGTTGCTTGCCAGTCGATTATACCCGAAACTTTTGATGGGTCCGTTTCATCAACAAATATATTGTCAAAATGAAGATCCTGGTGCATTAGGATAGGTTGAATGATTTCAGATGGAGGTATTATGTAAGGTAGAACGGTAATAAACTGTTCGAGGAGCTTGACGTGGAGTTTAGAGGAAGATGGCGTACTGACTCGTTCCCAAAATGGCAAGGTATCACCTGGACTAGCGAGGTTGAAATTCTGAACTGAACATATCTCACGCTTCGCTATAGCAGCAAGGTACTCCACAGCCGTCTCCCCTTCAAACTGTAAGCTTATAAAAGCAAAGGAATTAGTGTCTGGTTAAACTCACAAGGTCCGTGACTGATGTTTTGTTTCTCATCATTGTCGGCATAGAAGGCCCTCTCCGTTGTTGGGCCAATAACGAATCGGGATACTTCGTTTTCCTTTCCAGGCACTTTTTCAGCATTAATAGCTTTGAGGTATCCCGGATAACTTTCCTCGTATGCATCTTTATAATAGAGGCTGCCGTAGCCAGTAAACGGCGTGTTCACAAGTTTCCTCTCAATCTCAACGACATTCTTGACTAAATTGAAACGTTGTCTTTCAGACATGTTGTCCCAAACCTCACTCAATTGACGGCCGCCCACCCTCTCCATTAACATATACTCGGCGCCTACTAGATTCTGGTGTGGCCCTGGGGAGCTCCATGCAAGAACTTTAGGAACAGGAATATCAAGGACCGTGCGAAGCTATAAATGAAAGTATTCAAGTTAACACACTTTCATCCTCATCAAAATCGGAGTCAAACGTTTCTCTTACGAATTCGAGAGTTGCAACTTCACTGGAAACAACCATTTTCGGATTCCCAGCATTTGGGTTAGGTATTCTTGCTATGACATCCTTGCCATTCTCCATTTTCACCGAGAACACCTTGTTATAAAGGCCTTCTGGTAGTTTTCTCAACTGAACGCACGGGCTGCCAAGTATGGTGGAAGCACATTTTTTGAGAGCTTCGATATCGAATTCAACATACCGTGCTTTCAATTGCTTTTCCTCGTTATAAAGCCAACGGCCAGAGGTGTAAGAGAAGAGCTCGTTTGTTTCTTTAGACATGCTTGTTCTCTTGAGATCCGTGAGGGTTCGAAGATTAGTTTTGTTTGTAAGAGAAATGTCGAGTTTTCTTTGTCTCATTGAAGTGCGGCCATATAACAAGAGTTGTCTGAGTGCCATTATCTCACTCAGGCGCCGTTGGAAGGGTTAGAGTCAAATATAAACACGGGACATGGCAGAACCATTAGATACAGGTCTGCGTTGGAGAGGCTGGGACTTACGTCACGTGCATATAAGTAACTCTCAGGATTAGTCATCCTCTTGTGTCTGTAGAACTCGCAGATAGCTCATGTTCCGTTGTGGACATGGGGCATAAGGCCTTTTTGTCCCATGGTCCTGTGGTCCATGTTCCGACAGAACTGCCAGTTTCCGTATTAGTCAGCTACGGGAGTACATCTCGCTTGGTTAAAGCCGCAGCACATTTTTCTGACTAACCAATTTAGTTCAGTTAACTCCAGATCCACGGGCACATCACTAGTTACCTGGTTCCATTCTTGTCACTACCTTGTACCTTAACTCGCTCACTCAAACTAACGAATAACCCACGCCAAAAGGAAAAGAATCGAAGTAGCCACCTGGCTGGTAGAAAAACAAGTAATCACTATAGAGTGCCCAGTTTCAAAGAATGCGGCCTCTACCGCGCTCATTTGACATTTTAGGCTCTGTATACACTGATGACGTCTAGACTTTTCTATCTACCCATAACACAGCGCAAATAATCCCGCACTCAGAAGGGCGGTGGGCATGACAATGACATGGTCTTGGCATGTGGAGGCCGGGTAACCCGGAGTAACTTGCTAGTTAATCAGTTAGATACCAAGAGTTATGTTCACTGGCCAACTAACTAACTCGTCGACAGGGCGCTTAATGAGTCAGCTATTTATAGGATTATACAAAAATATCTGGCATGGGTAATTAAATATTAAAGTAAATCCGGGGCCAAATGTACTAATAATAGCTTTCCAACTTCATTATTTGTAGACATCGGTTCTAAGTGGTCGACTAGATACCTAACTAGTTATGCATGAGCAGGAAGTTTCACATCACCTTTGCCTCAATCACATCACAGTACGCTAACCATGCATTCATCCAAAATTAGATGTATACTCTGTACTTGAGAACAGATCAGCCCCCAGTCATTAAACAATCCATATTTTGCCCGGCGCTTAGCAGGGTTGTGTGATTCTCTGGCCTTGGATATAAATAATGGGTAAACTACCTACCTTTCATTTCTGGAGCTCTTCCACTACAAGTTACGGATTCACTCGAAACCAAACCTCCACTGCTGTAAGTCAATATTCATGCTCTATGATGCGAACTATTGACCAACAAGAAGTATTAGTGAAAGAATTGACTCTGTTCCACAAAAATGGGTGTTGTCAGGGAGACTATCGGCCTTCTTCGGACGCGTTGCCTGAAATCTGCATCCAGCAGACAGAAGCTACTTCGACCGTCAGTTGGTGACAATTCGGCTGCAGGACGCCGCATTATCCCAGCTCCTAGCCATGATGCAAACATTGGAGTGCGGATTGACAGGGGTGTTCAGGTTGGGAACCTCGTCAAAATTTACGTCCAGCCAAACAAGAACGCTACCAATAAGACTATACGAGAAATGGCGAACAAAAATAGTCACCAAAACATTGCGGAAACCTGGGTTAATGTCGAAGACCCTGTCGATAACACAACCGTCGACAAAGTGTTTGATGCCCTTGATGAGTGTGCTAAAGAGAATGGACATTGAACGGGTTTATGGTATTAACTCAATAATACTGGGCTCGCATGTAATTAAATTACTCTCAATATATTTGTGTTACCATGAGGGAAGGAAGCAGAGGGTGGTGATAGATTGAAATGAAGTCCACAGGGTTAACTTACATTTGACTTACCAAATAAGCTTATTCCCCTATCAAGCTAATAACTTTAGGGTAAACATCCCATAAATGTATCTGACAATATCCTATTTTGTTTGAATTTATCCTTTCCAGTTTTTATTTATTTGTTTACTTATCCGGCGTTATATATCATAAAAACTAATATAAATGCCTAAAAGATTATAGCCATGATAGCTTCAAGTAGCTAACTAGTTACTTCTTGTGGTTCTTGAAAGTTAACTTTAACTAGACCATTATTTGGGTAACTTCTACCCTTATGTCACGGAACTATACATTTTGTCTATAAGACACCCTCACATTCATCTCTTTCTAAAAGAATATACCATAACATATACTGGTCCACGGACTAGTAGTATTAATAATACTGATATCAAATCGACGCAACAACTAGCGAATAGTGCAGTTAGCATCCAACTTTATTATATATACCTGGATATTGATATAGGACATACTTCCGGAAATACTTTGTTCAGGTTCATCATGGCGATGGGGATACCCAGGCACCGTGTTGTGCCGTGTCCAAAAATGAGCTCCTGGACTCGTGACATCTCTTGTAGGCGCGCTTCGTCGTGAATTAACCAACGTTCAGGCCGGAACACCCGAGGATCATTACCAAACACTGGATTTAGCTGAACGCCCCAGGTATTCAAGCCGATGAATGTGCCTTCAGGGATATGCTGTCCATTGTATGTATCTCCTCCAGCAGGAACCATGCGTTCGCGCAACTGAGCTACAGGTGGGAAACAACGAAGACCTTCCTTTATACAGGCCTGGAGATATGGTAAGCGACGCGCTTCCTGGTCTCGAATCGGCGAGGATATCTTCCCACTGGCTTCTGCTTCGTCGATTTCCTTGGTCAGCCGGGCATATACTCGTGGATTGGACGCTACAGCAAGTAAGGTTGCCCTGATTGCAGTTGCAGTTGTATCGGAACCGGCGACCCTTAGAGTTCGTTAGAATTATATCATAATGTTAAATGGTTGATGGATCAGAGCTCACAAGGATATAATTAACTCTGTTTCTGCCTCACTTGGAGAAAGTCCATGCTTCATAAAAGATGTGAGCATGTCCTTCTTCGGTTCACTCTTGGACTGTTGTCTCTTCTCGACTTCATTACGAGTGATCTAACTGTTGTCAACGTACCACCACGAGGGACAGCGACTTGAACGTTTGGATATTATTCATAACGTACCCCCATGATTATACCAATTCCACTTTTATCCTGAGATGAAGGTACTATGAGCCTTCTCATGAAAGGAAGTCCCACTAACCAGTGCAACAGATCGTTGATTTCGATAATGACCGAGAAATGTTGAACGATGGGTAGTTGTGATTCGATTGTTTTCAGAAAGTTGGACACGTCGCTATCTGTCTTCACAAATCCCATTGGCTTTCCAAAGCAAATGTGTGTGATCATATCGACAGCCAGGAACTGGACCCGTTTGGCAATGTCAAATGCATTTGTCCCATTATCATCAGAGAGCCATTTCCGCTCAATCACATCGACAAAATCCTGGATACGCTCATCAATCATGTCTTCTAGCCCCTCCACGTCCCGTCCTGCGTATGCCCCAGACATTTGATGTCGTAGGTGATTATGTCGACCTGGATGTCTTTCAGATACTATATTCGGCACCTCAAGGTCAATCCTAATGGAGTCAAACCATGGTCCACGGGTATAATGCGATCGGGCTGCGAGAATCTTGCGTATAAATTCTGGATCATCGGTAAGGAGGTGGTTCGGCCCAATTCGAGCAACGGGACCATATTGCTGGTTGACATTTATAAATCGACTTGCGGATTCGCCGGAAGCTATTGTTTTGCACAGCCATAGGCGTGTAAATGCCGCCCATGGTGGGCCATGGAACGCACTAAGGCGCAAGTAACGTGCTGTACTTGACCAGATGACATATATGACTATCCCCGATATGATGGCAAGGCTCACAGCCGAAGGGTGTGTTGAAATGTGGGATTTTGCAGCTCTGAGCCATTGATCCGTCTCTAGCACTGCCTGTGCATAGTCTAGAACGATCGTGTGCGGAAGGATTGACGTTGTCAAATTCGAAGCCATGTTAATAAGACGTTCAATTTAATAGCAGATAACCGCCATATGCTCGCTTTCCTATCAGTATCTAGAACGGCTAACGAGCGAAAGTGGCAGGCTAGTTATATATAGTGGAAATATATGGACCAGCTTACTCCGTAAAGAGTTTCGCAGCTGCCGACCCCTTGTTGGGCCACCAGCTCAACCTTTACCCTGTTGACGGAGTAATTTACAGGGAGAAGACAGGCCGGGGGGCCAAGTTACTCTGGGTATAGTCTCTGGTCTCGAGTCACCTAGCTGCAGCCGGGCATGCATAAAAATCCAGGGTACACCATAAGCGGCCCCATTTTCAAACACGGCAGATAAGTGCTAAAGGAGGATACATGGGTTCATTCTCTGGAAATCACACTATTCAGCTGGTATGTGAAAATACTCTCCTTTCGGGGGTGTGGAATATGGGTATATAAGTGCTATTCTACTCGCACGGTTGGTTAACCAGCTATCCGTACTCCGTACAGATAATTTTTTGCATAGTGGACGTTGAGATTAGAGGTATAAAATTTTCCCTGCAGTTTGTTAGGCTGCGTTGTATTTTCTTTCGCTTCTTACTGGTGTATTTATCAGACCCAAGAAAATCCCTTCTCAAATCCAAAGGCTGTATGGAGTCACTTACTTAAGTAGTATAGTGGTTATGCAGGTGTGCAGGGGGGTTTCGCTACTCCGGCCCTCGGAAATGTGGATCTTATTGGGGCCAGAATCCGGAGTAAAGGCATGGTTATCTTTCTCCGGAATTGAGTATTGAGGCGTAGAGCTATGCAAAGCAAGGAAAGAGATAAAGTGCTCTTCTTATGTTCGCCAACTGTCTTCTAGTGGAGAGAATATTTTCTCTGTTAGACGTGATTAGCCTGTGCCATTCATTAGTAAACGAAGAACTCACATCCGAACATATAGACAGGCATCATATCAACGGGCTAGGATTTCTTTAGAACCTACGGGCCCATATCGAAATATTTAGTTAATATATCGCACCCATGATAGGGTCGCGGAAGTTGTCTGTAGGTCAAGCTCCTCCACATAGTTACGTAAACGCAAGGGAAGCTCGTTGATAGTCAGCGAAGCGGACGAAGAACCAAGAGTATAGGACTTACTAGCGATACCATTATTATCATAAGGCTCTAGAATTTAGCAAGTGCTTGACTTCCTTGTCAGTAATATATATCTAGCTTACGGAGTACTCGCCAACCGAGTTAGCGTTTACTCCGGTTACCGTAAAGGCAAACAATTAACCACCAAACCGAGACGGCGTCTCGTTAATATTATACTAGAAGACTTCAAAGGCTCGGCAATTTCAATCAATATCTTGTAAAAGTTTTTAAAAGAGGATTGAACCAAACATTTTTAGGGAGTAGTCTACGTAATAACAACAGTGGTTAGGTAACGGTCATCGAGTTATCCTTTTACCTAAAGTTTTAAGGCTATTCTACGGGCCGCCGCCCCACCCGGACCGAACCTCTCCTCGAAGCGCAATCGCGGGCATAAGTCTGCAAGTCAACAGTCTAATATCACCTCTTCCAAGGCAAGGAAGCCAATAAAGTCCCAACGTAATGAAGAGCTAACGTTGCATAGGTTTAGTGCATTCATTCAATTAATTGGGCGAAAGAGTGAGCGTATCTGGGCTCCCATTAGTTAACTTCGACGACTACTGATTTGCTGCTTCTAGACCAGTATTGGCCGCCCCGTCAACCCTGCACTTTCCATTGTACCGATGATCTTGGAGGGATGTATTTTGAGAGCGTCTTGAAAGAGCCCCATGGAGACCAAGGGTTGATTCCACATTCCACCGGGATATTGACAGAGTTTGTGGTCCAAACAAAGTATATGAGATGGTGTTAGTATGGGGTGGTAGGGAACTATCCATGGGATACCCGCTAATTGTTCAACGCCCCATAGCTCGGCTTGATGGGAAAGACAAGGTACATGCTATTGGTATGAAGTTATCAAACGGTTTAGATGGAAGTATAGCTCCATATACAGCTATACTCGTATTTTTTGTGTTGGTATCAATAGATGAAAGCCAGATGTGAGATGGATGGGTATTCTTTCCTTCCTTGATTCTCGAAAAATCAGCTAGCCTAACAAAAATTATATGAACCAACCGTTATCCTTTTCTAAATTATAAACGGCACCCTTCTACCGTAACAGTGCCTGCAATTCTCTCCAAACCGAAAACAGAAATGTACTTGTTGGAGGAGTTAATTTGTTCAATCAGAGAGCCAGCAGTGATGTCAATATCTATGGAATCTGCTTCTGAGTATGCAAGAGTGCTCTTGACTTCCTTGAAGAAAATGTTTCTCTCATTGTCGGCAGGTCACTGGGGAGAAAATGGCACCCCTGCACACCACATGCTGGATTCTGCCATATTGTCGACTATATCCACCAGGTTCACGGATTCCGGTTGATTAACATACGAAACCAACTATAGCTATCGCATAGGTTGCAGAGGTGATAAAATTTCCAATTCAAGGTTTGTATACTTTGTAGAGCAAGCGGGAATCCACAATGAATACGCTGAGAGGGAACTGGAGGGACTGTCAATCTATTGATGGGGAATTGATTCGTCTGGGCCTCCCGACGGGTAGGTAGGCTTTGTACATGCGATTCTGCTGGTATGCGGGGTCAACAGACAGGATATTTCTGCAAATGGTTCATTGAAGGAACCTAGTCGCTGCGGGGTGCTTGGTGTGAGACCCTAGGGCTCACTACATGTACATGGACATGGGCAAGTGAATTGCCGTGTTTGGCGATAAGACGAACGTGATATGAAAGCCATCACTGGCCAAGCTGGAGTGAAGACGCCAAATATCCATGGTGGATTTCATAGTCGGGGTATTGTGATGCCCCAGGTGCAAGTAATGGCATCTACTTCGTATATTAAGAGAGGAGACAACAATTCCTGCCTGGATCAAGAATCCTGGTATCACACTTCATACTTCTGAGTCGTTTGTTCAACTCTGTGGCACATTGAGAAAGGTAGTGGTTAGCAATTCGCTGTCTAGAAGGATGGTATGTTGAAAGGATGCCCTTTAAACTTCTGCGCTTGGTGGAACAACCTAAACAGCTGATTAATATAGCATGTGACTACTTTCATCAGCTGGAGAGATTCAAGTCATGTGACAATTACACAATGACTAATACAAAATATTTCCCATTAAGGAAATATGTTTCTTACTCATCTCATGACTCAGCAGTAACGATAATATTACCAAATATACATGTATCAACCAATAACAATATAGTATTTTATAGAATACAGTCTCAAGCTGTACTAAAATTACCCGTCCAAACCTAAGATGAAAAAGGGGGGGTCCAAGCATCAACGAACCATCTGGTTTCAAGGGACGAACGCGAGATCACAAACGGTAAAAAAGAAAAGAAAGGAGAAAGAGAGAAAAAAGAAAAGAAAAGAAAAGGACAACGCAAAACAAGAGTCTGGCCCTCTCGACAAGCCATGATCACCAATTTAAAGAACCAAAAGCAGATAAAAAAAAGGGGAACGATCGATCAGACGGCAAGATTGATCTCCACTACTCCATGTTTTTTCAACTAATCTTAAACGCTCTCTCCAGTCGATCTAATATATATGGTAATATCGCTTATCGCTTTTACTACTCCGTATGGGGATATGAGTTTATGGGCAGGTTTATCATCGATCCAATGTATCGAAAGCTAGCTCGCCCCCCTTTTTTTTTTGCCATCCTGCTAGGAACTTGAAAAAGATGGGCTTTCGAGAAAACAAGGCCCGTTGCACCCGCTGTTTCGAAAAAGCTCAATCCTTGCAAGTTCATAAGTAAAAGGGGGAAAAACAAAACAGGATGGATGAACCAGGTCTCAATTGTTTTTACTTGAATTGAGAAACGAGCGGCCAGCCGGGGAATGGAATCCTGGAAAATATGCCATGATGGCTTGCGTTTATGGTACGAATCAGGGGGTATAAAGGTGCAAAAAGAGGTCCATTTTGATGGTGGTGGCGGCGTCTCCTTTTTGGGTGGCGGTCAGAGAAGGCCTGTAACTCGTTAGCTGTTGAGAGCGGTGAAGCAGTTAGTAGTACTCCGTAACAGGAGAGCAAGAGAGAGAGAGGGAGAGAGAGTCGACGTGGCGTCTGTGAGACTCTTGGGTGAGGTTATAATATTGTTAGAGGTCGACAGCGAAGGTCGAGATTGCTGTGAATGTATGTAAAGTAAGTTCCAATGTTAGGCCGTCGAATGAGAAGGCAGAGAGACGCTGGACGCAGCGAGGAAAAGGCGGCTATAAAGTTCAGCCAATCAGAGGCCGTGCCCTGCCCTGTGATGTGAGGTTGGGCATGCATGAGCCCTACAGTCAGCACAGCACAGTCAAGACTCGACAAGATGCATGGTTATGCACATTTTTGACAGGACCAGCCATGAGCCGTGAGCCGTGAGCCCGTGGGGGAAGCGTCGGAAGGGCGAGGGCGAGTGAGGAGAGAAGCGAGGGACGCGTGGGCAAAGGGGGAGGAGGAGGGAGCGCAGGCAGGTCGGGGTCGGAAAAGAACGGAGGGACCCAACGCTGTTACATCTAGATGTTTGCCCAGGGTTTATGTTATCGAGAACCCTGAGAGCGATCTGTGATGATGCAATGATGCGATGATGCGGACTGTGCGACATGCCGTAGCACTGGCGCTGTCCTGACGCGCAAGGTGTCTGGAGTCTGCGGGCTCAGAGCGGAGGCCTTTAGGCGAAAAGAGGGCTGAAGTTGGGTTCTAATACCGACAACTATATGGGCGACCTTGGTAGCTGGAGTGATTACTATTGTTTACTTGCTTGCTAAAGTGGGATGGATGGATATAATTATTGGGTACGAGCGTTACGCGAGGGAGGCGAAGTAAGCGACGGGGAGAATCCCAACCCCTCATCGCAGAAAGAAGCACAGGCAGGACAGGAAGAAAGAACAAGCAGGTGGGAGACGTCAGTTGCATGACTTGCATCATCGTCACGGCGAGCGACGAGAGCAGGCAGAGGCAGAGGAAGATGGAGGAAAGGCGCGCAGTGGTTGGCCGGTGGACGAGCGGCCAATGGCAGAGGGGGACTCGGGCAGCCGCCGGAGCAGCGCGAAAGGTCTGGCGGGAGGCGCGGGTGGAGAGGCAGGCCAGGAAGGAAGAAGCAGGAAGACGCAGGCTGGACAGTGGAAGCCAGCGGAAGAAGATGGAATGTATCTTTACCTTTATCTTTGTCTTTGCCTTTTGTCGGGCTTTATATCTGTCTTTATGTCTGTCTTTGTCTAGTCGTTACTGCATGGCTGCTGCTATCTACTACTATCTACTATCTATCTCTGTGATCTCCATCTCTTATCAGCTTATCGCTCTGTGTATCTGCCCGCTGAGTCAGCTCACGTGCCACCCACCAGATCGGGTCAACCCGGCCTAGCGCCCAAAGCGGCTTAGCCTGCGGGAGACCCTAAAAAAGCAAAGAGTAAAAAGTGGGTCCCACCTGACTCTCCCTGGCTTGGCAAGGCCCTTTCCCCAAAGGGGCCAGGTCTCCACTTTTCCGTCCTTTCTGCACGCTCTTTTCGCCTTTTCTCGTCCTTCCTCGCCCTTCCGGCTTCTTCTTCTTCTTCTTCTTCTCTTCTTCTTCTCTTTCTCTTCTGCTTTTTAATTCTATAGCAACAACACTACAGACAGCAGATCCAGCAGCACCGAACAGCCCCCCGAGAAGACGCAAGCAAGCAAGCAGAGAAGACGCAGAAGCTGCAGAAGAAAGTGACCAAGATTTCATCCCTGACCTTCTGGCTCTTTTTACTTACTTGACTGGCCCATTCTCTTTTTTCCTCTTGTTTTCTCCACTTTCTGTACAGTCTTAATATATCCGCGTCTTTCTTCTTCTTCTTCTTCTTCTTACTACTACTTCCTACCAACAACAACAGCAACAAACAAGAGGACTCTACACAGAGTCCTGGCCTATCTGTGATCACTCTCAGCTCGAGATATCCGCGCCTGCGTGTCGTATTTGTGGTCTTCACTGACGTTGGTTCCCTTTTTCCCCTTTTGGGCGTTGTTTGTTCCTATGACTCCAGAGTGGTCGCGTTAGTCACATGCTAATCTCACTCACTCGATACTCGCAGTCACAATAACAACAACAACAGCCCATCATCCACCGCATAACAACCCTCCCTCCAGATACCATCGTCAGAGTCATGGCTCCTCGCTCAGCTCCCAAGACGGCCTCCATGGACATCCCCAAGTCGCGCGATGCTCCTCGCCGCCATGGCATGCTGCCTACGCCTCCCTCGTCCATCTCCCCTTGCCTCAACCCCCAGGGCTTCAAGCAGCGTGTCACCCAGGAGGCCCTCCACCAGTATAACCTCCGCTCGCCGCCGGCCTCCTCTTCCCTCGTTCCACATGACACCCGGCACGAGATAGACGCAGTCGACTCAGACATCGACCTCCAAGACACTGAAGACAGGCGTGTTCCTTCATCAGTCGCAGTCGCATCCGCCGCCGCAGCCGCTTCAAAGGGCAAGGCTGATGTCTCGGGAGACATCACCCCTGCCATGTTGGCCAGACACTACCTGCCCGACATCCTGCTCGCACACGGCCCGCTTGCCATCAGACACATCATGGGGTACTTGACGACCTCTGTGCCTGGGTTCGCCATGATACCGCCTGCCAAGGCTAGGAGACTCGTCGTGGCTGGCCTAGAGGGCAAGGCGTCGCTCTCAGCCAACGCTGACTCCATGGATGACGGCGAGGTCGAGTTCGAAAAAGTCGGATGGGGTCGCTGGGACGCCTACCGTCGTGGCCAGCAGAAGCGGGAAGGAGAGAATCATCACACTGCCACTGAGCGTGCTGGCCACGTCAACCACCATCACCTTTCCTTGCCTCACTACTACGCCCCCGCAGACTCGCCCATATTCTCCCACTCAGACTTCAACCAGAACCAAGACATCGACGAGGCGGACAAGATGTCCCTCGACGACGACGGTGCCAGCCAGCCACGCATGTACTGCTCTTCCTCTGCTTCTGAGGAGCCAGACATCATGGACGGCGACTGGGATGAGGCTGACATGACTGACGAGGAGGACTGGGCGAACATCGGTGCCGACGCACTCAGAGCGCAATCCCTCGGCCAGGAGCCTTCCATGTCGTCATCTGTCTACGCTCGAGGATGTGGCTATGGCTATGGCCACAGCTACGGCTACGGAGGAGGACCATCTTCCTCTGCTCTGGCCAAGGCTGCTCCCATCGCCATGCCCGGTGGCAACGTCGAGGAACGTGCCGCTGTCGAAGCACTCCTGCAGCTCGGGTCGATGTAGTCTCCCTTGTCCAACCAACATCGGACCTTCGCGCGTCAACTCCACCCAAAACAACACATGCATATACCTTACCACTTCATTTCTATACTTCCCCCCCCTTTCTTTTCTATTAAACCAGCATACAATATTTTAATCCCCAAGACACGACCCGAAACGAAGCCTTACCCCCTTTCATTCCTTTTTTTCCTCACGATAAAACTACGCGTGGCTGGCCCCCGATCGTATACTTATCAACCCACACTCCTTTTTTTGGCCTCACGATGTATATTTCTCTCCTTATATTTTTCTTTTCTTTTCTTTTCTTTTTTTATCTTTCCAGCGTTTTACTTAATGTGTTATCTTCACTGATCGTGAATTTCCGATCTGACGGTGGCGGTGTTTTCATCCTTTTCCTCCCTTTCTACCTCCTTTCTTGGCCGGTTGGCGACTTGCATATCTGGAATATGGCGCAAGCTGAGGAATCCACATGCGCACCAAAACCCACCGAACAACCAGCGAACGACCACTCGACTCTTTTTTTTCTTTACTTGTTTCAACATAAACGCGCGATCCGAATTGCTTCCGTGCCAGACCAGCCATCTCAACAATGGCAGCGTTATCTGAGACACGATGGGCACCGGAAGTCGAAGGTGACGGTCGAAGTTGAATTCGAGCTCGAAAAGTCGAAGTCGATCTGGAACAGAATCTGGGAATTATCAATCAATTAATCAGTTAATGGGAGAGAGAAAAGAAAAAAAAAAGAAGAAGAAAGAAAGAAAGAAAAATAACCTGGCTGGCTGGCGCGTTTGTCTTGTTATGCTCTGCTTTCTATCTTGCTCTTGCTCTTCGTTTCGTCTTCTTCCCTGTTTGTTCCATGTCCACCAGCAAAAAGCAACAGCCGTTAGAAGATCAGGAACAAGAGAGATGAAGAAAAAAAAAGAAAACATGCAAGCATCAAACAAACAAACAAACAAACCAGACCAAACTAAACCAAACAGCCATCATTCTTCCTGTTTTTCCTTTCCCTCATCTTTATACCCCCTTTTTATTCTTTCTTTCCTATGTTCAAGCATCATGATTCCCCCATATCTCATGTTTATTGTTCTCCTTCTTCCCTTTGTTCTGTCCTGCCTGCCTGCCTGCCTGCCTGCTACGATATGCCATGATACCACAACGATTTCCCCCCAACTCCATCCGCCGAATATCAAGAAACATCCAC